CAGTGGACGGTACTTAGTTTTTGGCTCAACTGTTTCCAACTTGGCAGTTGGGTCATAAACTTTCTCATTTCACAGCAAAACAGCACACTAAAATATGTTTCTGATATACCACTGCTCAGGGCATATTATACCGCTGCAAAGAGTGTCTTCATGTGTGGGTGTCTGAAGCTAATATCCACAGACAAAGCAGCGGTATTTGATGAGTTTCGTTCAGAAACAGCCACCACCTGGTCGTATCATAATGCCCCCAAAAGGTGCCTCTTTACATTGTTGTCTGATACTAAAATTATTGGCAAAGCAGCGGTATTTGATGAGTTGGGAGTGAGAATGGGCTGTAAATGCATACAGTGGGCTTTTTTTAAAGTAAACTTAGAATTGTTTGTTTAGGTTTACTTCCTTAGGTTTATGCAACAAAAGCATGTGGTTGGTTTAGAAGAAAAAAAATCAGGGTTTGGCTTAAAATCAGTAGGGTTGTTACTAATGTAATGTCATGTCACGTGACATCCACTATCTAAAATACGTTACTACGTTTTTATTGAAATGACCCCACTGACTTTTGGTTTTACACAGGAGATGGACAGTTGGCTCCCAGGTAAAAGTCAAGTGTTTGTTCTGTCCGCCTGCCCTCCCATCCCCCAACAGAGATTTTCTAGCACTTTATATTATGCTAGTTGCCGGTGGCAACTTAATTTTCTAGGTTTACTGCCTGTTTAGTCAACAAAAGAACATGGTTATGTTTGGAAAAAAAACATAATAGTTTGGCTTCAAATATTTACAATTCTTACTAACATAATATAATGTCACGTGACATATGTCACTAGCATAGTATGCTAAACGTATTAGCACACTACGCTGTTATTAAAACATTGTTGATTGTTGGGAGTGAGACTGGGTTCGTTAAATGAGAATTTTTGGCTCTACTGTTTCCAACACGGTGGCACAGACTTTCATTTTACAGGTAAACAGTGCACTAAAATATGTTTCTAAAAAACATCTGAGGCAAGAAATAGGAAATGCAGTAACAGAATCTTGATAGGTATTTGATCAGCGCTGCCAAGTTTGACAGTTTGATCACAGTATCCACCTTATTTTCAAACACGGAAGTAAATAGTGATCAACTTCCGTTTTTTTGTGTGTGACTTCCGGTCAGCCGCTTTCCCTCATGCTTTCCCTTACCTGAGCTAACGGTGCAAGCTAATTTTTTTTCAATTTTCAGTTGTTTATGTTAGTCAATCAGTTAGTTAGTTAGTTAGTTAGTCTGTGTATTTTGTATAACGTTAGATAACTGTGCCCACGTTTCCGTTATAACGGAAATTTATTCCCCCTAAACGCGAATAAATCGCACGTCAATCATAAACTATGAACCAAAAAAGCACAATCTATCCCGAGTGAGACAAACTGCTTGATCCCCGTCTCCAGTGTACCAGCAGAGAACCTGCAGAACTGAATCAGCGAAAAAACACACCGGGCTACACAGCCTCTCTACCTGAGCAGCTGAAGCTGCGGCTCGCACCCTCGACACACAGACACACAGACGGTGCTTCTGCATGCCAGCCAAATGTGTGCGCAACTGTGAGAAATAAATATGTGAGGTGTACACTGCTTTTCTATCTTTTTTTCCCTTTTCTTTCTTTCTTTCTGTCAGCGACATACACTCCTAACACAGGACGGGTTGTTTTAATTGACTGAGTTGATCATTAAGCCATAGTGATGCGCGGATCGGCTCTGATAGCACCTGAATCAGCATGTACGCATCAACCATCCAGCCGTTACAACATGATTGAGCTAGCAAAGCAGTTTTGTGTTGCTATGTGTGGTATTTATTAGGTTTTGGGAAATCACGATGTCTACAAAGCATCAGTGGTTGCAGCTGACAGGGACAGCTAACGTTAACACTAGCAGCAAAGCTAACATCAGGATCGTCATCCGTTAAAAGCCTCCCGTTGTCGGATACGACATGAAACTACTCCAATTAGCTCAATCATGTTGTAACTAAGACATCCGCTGGAGAAAATATTTTTTTCACGGGCCACTTTGTGAGTTTAGTGAGTTATTACAGACACGGCTAACGGTTAACAGCTAACGGTTAGCCCAGCTAATCTACGATAACCATGTTATTAATTACACACAGAGAAAATACTAATGTTTGTTCAGTCATTGTGTTTATAGACTTTACAAACATCAGATTAGTCTAAACGGTGATATAGTGACGTGAAAAATGTGATATATATATATATATATATATATATATAGCTAAACTCAGCAAGGTAAACAACAAGGCGATTCCCATTTACACAGTGGTAAGAGTGCTGGACCGGAAGTGTCGCACAAAAAAACGGAAGCTGGCTGCATTCTGTTTTGCCTCCGTGTTTCCGTGAAAAATAAGGTGGATATGAAGCAGTGATTGAAGTGATTGACAGCTGTGCTATACACTCCTTGGCTTTGATTGGTTGTTTTCATTCATGTGCGGCAATTTAGGAAATGTCAGAAATCACACACTGAGAAAGCAGAAATTTAGGGGAAAATATGAAACATTTTATATAAAAATCACTTTTGAAACATTAAAGGAACAGTGTGTAAGATTAAGAGATATTCAGTGGACTATAGCAGTGAGGACTGCAGACTGCAACCAGCTGAAACTTCTCCTGGTTAAAATGTCACTGTCCAGTGGGTTTCTAACTGGGGCTGAATTATTCAGGTCTCCATGTCTCCAAAACAAACAGACTAGCTTCATGTCATGAATCAATGTATTTTTCTACGTTGTTCGGCCTCGTCGCAGGCGGGCTGCTCGCCCAACGCCACCTTTTTCTTTGATAACTTAATATGTGCTCTTCCTATTTCTGATCTAGATGTTCAGGAGGTTTTTACCAGGGGTTGAATTATCTGCAGAGGTGTCCTCCTCTCCAAAACAAACACACCCAGTGATTAAACCGGTAAAAACACTAAATAAAGCATGGGCAACTAACCTAGCACCTGCTCACCTATGCCCACCTTTTTTCTCGGATAACTTAAGATCCAGATGTTCAAGAGGTTTTTACCATGTGCCAAATAATATTTTACTCTCTAAACAAATGGACCTGGTGATTTAACCCAGTAAAAACACTGAATAAAGCAGATCCACATCATTTTCTTTTCTCCCCACTGCTGCTGGTCACAGAGGGGCATCTAACTATGGTGGCCCTCATGAAAACCCAAAAATGCAAATGGCTATAGAGCCAATGTTTAATTTGTTTGTTCTCAGCTATAGTAGAAACATGACAATGCAAATGGCAGACTCCACTGGCGAGGACCTGCTCACTATGTAGATATAAACAGCTCATTTTAAGGTATAACAAAAACAACCACTCTTATCTTTCATATGATTATAAACTAAAGAAAACATACTATTATGTTATGTTCCATTTTTGCCAACATATCCACCTCAATCCTACGCACCGGGCCTTTAGGACTGATAACCTGATAGAGTTGGAGGAAACTTCCAGGTGGAAGTAGAACTTTGTTTTAAACCAGCAAACCTCACACACCGCAAGAACCAACATGTTTAAATCTGCAATAACCAATCTTCCCTATCTTATAGCTCTGTTTCTCTTCTCACTTTCTCTGCAAATAGCTGCCTGATATGGTCAAAAATGACACTATGAGAGCAATGAGAGTGAACCAGAACAGTGACGTGCGCTGACAGCTAAACAATGTGCTCAAAATCATTACAAAGCTCAATAAAGCCGAGAGGAGCTGCAGATTCAGCTGATCATTCTCTGCAGCTTCATCACTCCGAGCGACATTGTCATTTGATACATTGTTAGAATAAAAATTTTGATTATAGCTGTTTTAAGTCATCCACAATCCAACTAAAACAAACATATGACTGAAACAGAAAGTTTCACTTTTCGTGTTACAGATATGACTTTCACTGAGGGGAACTGACGTGATCCTGAAGATGCATCACATAAAAACCAGAATTTCACAAGTATAACCTCAATTTCCTAAGAATAAAGATTAATAATTAATGCAGTTGGCACAAATATTGTTGAGCCAGGAAAGAACATTTCTTTGAAAATTACTTTACTTTGAAACTCTAGAAATTCCACAAGAGCAAATACGCAGTAAACGTGTCAGAAACAGAAGAGAGTGATGTTATTAAACCACATTTACAACTTGTAGAGTCTTAGTTCCTGTTATCCAGGCCATTTGTTTTTATTAATTTCATTCCTGGCAGGAAGCCACACTGGGAGCTGCCCAGTATGACCACAGACTTGTAACTGGTGGAGCAGCTGGGGTTCAAGAGCACATTCACTGTGGTTGAGAGTATTTCTCCCGACTGTGACATGAGGAAGGATGTCTTTGTTTACTTTAGTTTATCATCTTTCCAGCATTTATCATTAATGGGCTGTGCTGTCGTCATTTCATCCGCACACTTCACGCTTCCCTCTTTCCTTCAGTTTCATCATTTTGTGTTTCCTCTCAAAAAACGTACAGAAGCAGAAATTTGGAAATGACATAAGAGAGGTCTTAGAGTCCAAAACTCAATTTGTCAAATGAATGAATTATCTCTTCTTCTTTTTGTCACTCTCTGCCTTGTTAGGTTTTAATTTTATTCACTTTCTGACGTCTACTTTGATTTAATGTGTGAACAAGAGACAAAAAAAAGTTAAACAAAAGAAGAAAGTGAGGTGATGACATCAGGATGCAGAGGGAGGGAGGGGGGCAGAGGGAGAATTGCTCAATTTGGTATTTTCTGATTCTGCTGCTTCATTTTATTTATGATAGACTTCATTCAGAATCACTTCAGCAAACAAAGAAATTTGAAGCCTTTTCAGATGAGAGGGGTGAGAGGAGAGGAGAGGAGAGGAGGGGAGGGGAGGGGAGGGGGGGTTAGGCTGTCCAGCGTGGGCGTTGATGCTCGAATGGCGACGATGGCTGATGACTCAGGTGATGTGTCATGCTGCTATGCTATAAAAGGGAACTTTTACATTTTGTCCACACAAACACACACACACACTTACAGTACACACATTGGACTCAGGAGGAGGTTTGTTTACTACAGCAGCAGCAGAAAAGATGAAATGTAAGTTTGTTTGTGATTCTTTTTAGAGGGCGAGTGTCTGTGTGTGTTTGTGTGGAGGAGGGGGGCTTCACTGCACGTGGTCTTTACTTTTACTTTTAGCCTGAGTGAGTTTGAGTGAGAGTTTGTGAGTGAGACAATGAATGAATGAATGAATGAAGTTAGGAGCTCTGTGACCTTTTGTGTCTGAAACACAATGTTAGCAGCAGTTTAAAAAGTTCAAATGTGATTGAGCTTTATTGAAAGTGTACAAAGTCTTTGGTGTGAGGCTGGGCTGTGATTGGCTGGTTGTGTGTGTGTGTCTCTCTCTGCTTCCATGTGTGTGTTTTGGGGGTTTCCCTGAGCAGTTTGAACTTGTCAGCATCATGATTGAGTCCAGCTGCATCACACTTATTGTACTTACTGCTTAAGTGTTCAGCTTTATTGTTGCATTTGTTTCATTTTAAAAATTAATGATCATGTAATTCCAGAAACAGGTAGTGTCATACCAGCTCACGCATTCCCAACTCATCAAATGCCACCATTTTGTTAGGGAATCTAGGCGTCACTCACCAACACGCAGAGGCACCCTTTACGCCACCGGCAACTATTGTATTGTAAAGAGTGAGAAAGGCCGTATGGATGGGTCAAACAAACTCCAGACTTACACCCATGAGCCCGCTGTTCTTTTCCCGTGTGAAACCAAAAGTCAATACAGTATTTTTAATAACAATGTGTGATAGTATGTGTAGCATGCTATGCTAGTGACATATATCACAAGGCGTCACATAATGTAAAACAAACCATGATATTGCAGGGAGTGACAAGTGATGATTGGTTGTGTGTGTGTTAACACGGTTTTATGAATGAAAGTGAAGCTGGAATCATTTGTGGTTTACTGGGCAGTAAAGGTGGTCTTCTGTCACACCTTCACTTTGGGTCTGACTCTGACGTTGCATAACAAGTGAAAGACAACTAGATGATTACTAACTAATTACTAAAACCTGCTGACTCGTAACAACAACAGCAGCCATTAAACACTAAGTATGTGTGTGTGTCTGAGAGAGGTGAAATCATGAGTCAGGTTGGCAGACAATGATGTCATCATGCACATCATCAGTCATGTAATGTAATTTGCACACTCACTGTATGAGGATGGATCATGGATGTATCAGAGTCAGTGCTGATGACAGTTCACCCCAGTGGCCAGCTGCAGTACTGCAGCTGACAGGACATCTCCACTTCCTGGTTGATGTCACACTGCCTGTGTCAATTTTGATGATGTAAGAGGAAACTGCGATATGTGTAACTTTATGCAGCAGTTACACAGACACAGTTTGGAAGGTCATAGTTCATTAAGCAGATGTTTCATAACTGTTAGTGTTATTAATGACTATTTCCTGAAACAGATCCTTCATACTATGAAGCTGTTGGTGGATAAAGAAACAGCTTGTAGATACACAGCAAAGCACATCATTCATATACTGTGTTGTCTGAAAATAACACCTAGGAACTAAACAATTAGCCGTTTTGAAAAAGACAATGGTTTCATAGTTCAGTTCTCTCTCAGCACTTTGGACAGGGAGTCTTCATGACAGTGCATGCAGCCTTCTGCAGTTATTATCAGATTATAGGCTATATAATCACTGTACTTGCCAACATACCAAAACATGACCCGATCATCTAATATGAGGATTCACAGATGTCTTTTCTCTAGTTGTTGCCAGAGAAAATTACAAAAAACAAATTAAAAAAAAAGTCTTTATACTTCCTTTGCATTTTTACACAGAACCAAACGACTGTGGCATCATGCCGCTCCAGTGTGTGATTATAGACAGCATGCTGGCATCATGGAATCAAAAGAAGCGTGACGGGCATGACATGTACCTAACACAACAGTGTTGGCCTCTATTATGGCATAAAACATTTGCATCAGCAGCACTTTATAAACAATAACAATGGCAAAACATGACAATAACAATCATCTACCTTCTCTGTTCTATGGTGGCTGATCTCATCTTCTGCTCAAAGGGTAAGGAGCTTCTGATTCTCATTGTTCCTCCAATTTGCGGACATTTACAGCTGCTGCTAACTGCTAACAGCTACTTTCTAAATCTCCCACAGTGAGTCATATGCATAACATGTTGTCAAAATGTCATTCCCATCCTGCCCATGAACCCATCCTGCTGGTCATCCTGTTTATACACACACCATTTCAGTGCTTTTTCTTCCTCCCGTGGCAGCTTTAAGACAAGACCTCTCTGTCCCCCCATTCCACGATCGTACCCTATACATCATGGTGAGGTGGCATAATGGCTCAATATTCCCATTCTCAGTGGCATTTAGGCCAAATCTTTTCCTAACCATAACCAGGTGGTTTCTGTGCCTAAAGCTAACCACACATTTATCACAGCATTATTGACAAACATAACATATTCATAGTTTACAGAAATGTACATGGTGAACATTGTTTTGAGCAACTGGGTTGTCTAACTATGGGGAGTGCGTATGTTTGGAGAAACAGGACTTGCGAGCAATTGCTGCTTGTTTTTGGGATAATGGGCTGTCGGAGAAATGGGCTTTTGGTCTAATGGGGCACTTTGAAATAACATGGTTTGGGATTTTAAATAAATTTCAAATAAAATCCTCTGTACTACAATGTAAAGATTTGGACCTATATTCATCAACTACCCTTCTAAATACATATATACATCGATTTTCAGCTGAAAAAAGTTGTTTGGGGTTGTTGTTTTATTCTTTAAAAAACATGTTTCTTCACCTCAATGATGCTCATTTAAAAGTCAAACATCACACACGTAGTCTGTCAGTTCTTTGAAAGTGAACACTTTGTGGGTTTATTTGTTGGTTTCAGAGGAAGTTGATAGGGCACTTCCTGCCAGATGCCATTCACATCCTGTCAGAAGTTCACCAGAAGTTCTTTAGAGTAAAACAACCCGGCTGAGGAAATGAGGCGCTCACTGTGTCAGACATAAAACACAGGCAACTCCAGTGTTTCTGCGCTGCATCTTGACTGACACGAACTGGAACGGAAACTGTGGAAGTGTGTGAGACGCTGCATGCGTGTGTTGATGTTTCGTGTGTGAGTGAGCGTGTGCTGATGAAATGACCTGCTAAATACATCAAAAGACGGCCAATTCACTCTGCTTCTTAAGCAGTTCTGCGCTGAGCTGTAATGCTGTCACAGCTGTTTGCTCGGCCAAGTACATGACTGTACACTACACTGCCAGGGGATGTTTTCCTACTATGACAGAGGGTTTTTGCTGATGTTTTCTTCAGTAAATTTCCAATAGCCTTGTGAAGCTAATCCAAATTTCTTGTTTGTGCTGACTGAAAATGACCTGATCTGACCTCTTCTCGGGTTGTGCAATAACTGATACTCAATGGGCTGGCAGACAGCTGAAAGTGAACATCTGTTTGTTGTCATTCAGGGTTAGAATGGGATTATAAGTACATGTTCAGTCTTCAAATGCTGCTCCACTTTGGAGGCCGTTTTTCATGACAGAATCCAGGAGAAGTGGTAGGTCTCATTTCCAGGTGTTACCTGAAATCACCACAACTGTCTGCTGTGAAATGCTGTCAAACAGACTAGACTTTGTCAATTTTAGCTGGAGGTCAATGTCTGACTCACAGTGAGACATATATGATACAATATTTATTTTTGTCTGTGTAGACAAGACAGTGCCATCTTTCAGGTCTAGGAATGAGATCCAGACATGCTTTTTAATTCATGAAAGATTAATTTGCAGCTGTTTATGTTTCCCTGCTGAGTTAATGCTGGAACAGGCTGCAGCTGCAATGACACTGACCCGGAATAAACAAGTAAAAAAAACACATTTATGTCACAATCCTGAAGATTTTTATAAAACTGTACCCAGTTTTATTTTATTTATTTCTATTTGTCAGATTTTTTTTTTCAGCAAAAGCCATTCAATATATCCACATCCTGTGATTACTTTTCTGTATATTAGTTTTCATAATAAGTGGCTGGGTCCGCCATTCCCACACTGGCTTAAAATTAGTTTAACATCACAAGAGATACCCAGAAAAAGATGCATTTGTGTAATCCAGCGTTGCTTTTTGTAATTTTATCTGAATGATAACAGCCTCACTGTTTACTGTTTACACTCCATTAAACTGTGTCAGAGCCGCAGTTAAGTTACTGCTAATGTAAACAGAAGATTTTTCTAGTGCTGCTAGTTCCCATAAAAGGCACTCAAACGGTAAAGTGAGTTTTTTAAACAGCCAGCAGACATGCCTTTAACTTTAATCACAATGAATTTGTCATGTTTGTATTTCATTTTACTTAATTATCCTTAATTTAACCAGGGAGGTCCCACTGAGATACTAGATCACTTCATCCAGGGAGTCCTGTTATTCCAGCTTCCATCCTCCATACATCTACGTCAAAGTTAAAATTGATTCAATGTAAGCACACACTTAAAACCAGACCCAGACACTTTTGATAATCAAATAGTATCAGTTATAAACTTTTTTTATGTAGCTATTTCAAGGCACAATTAGAAACCTTTTATAGGTCATCAAAACAAAATCAACAACTATATCAAACAGATAAATCTGCATGAAAACTTCCAAAGTTAACTGTATCTTTTGTACCAGGAACAGTGTCTTTCACTGGACCTGATTTTCCCCACAGTGACATTTGACCTTACAGTTACTGCACTTAGTGTCTGAGTGATAGTAAAAGTGTTTAAAGTGCACTGTGTCAGACACTCATGACAAAGTGGATGTTTTCCCTCTAAAGAGTGCAGCCTGAGGCGTCTGTCGGGTGACATCATCACATAGATTAATCTGAGTCAGACCGCCCCGCCAGCTCCCCTCTCCTTTTCCAACAGGAGGCCCAGAGCAGGCTGGGAAAAAAAAACCCACAGCATACCTCTCATTCCTTCACCCTGATCTAACACTAAGGCACAGTTCATTTCTTTGTTGCTCAGGGTTATGGGATTTCTGAAGTTGCGTAAAGCAGTGGAGAGATTTAAAGACATGAACCTTCTTGATTGAAGTTTTATTTCCTTGAATGGAGATCATCACTGATTAAGATAGCTTAAGAGACCAAGACAAAACAAAGCACAGAGGATTTGTGGGGATTATTTATCCTCAGATTGACTGAAAGAGCTGACAGCTTGATGATCTTTTCCACGCATTTATTATACACAGGGTGAGGTATTCAAACAACAGAGGCCCATTTATTCATAAGAGCTTACAAAGAAAACATTGGTGCTTCCACATTCTTGCCGATACTGGAAAAGGGCAGCTTTACAAAACAAGGGAGGAAAAAAAGCAAGACATTAGGGGAAATATTATTTAGGATGAGTGAAATTATCTGCCAACAAAACAAGAACATTTCACCTGCCAGTATTTTTTCAAACAAGTAAAAATTTCAAATCTCTAAGAACCCACAGATATCTTAAAATTAGTGTGGCCAGATGAAAAACAAGTGCATCTATCTGGATACAAGGAATAGATTTAAGAATTACTTTCTTAATATGTAGTAAATGATAGAAAATAGCTAATGCCAGTGCCATGTTAGTACCACTGAAGTTTGAGGACTTCAAGACAACTGTAATTAAGTTTAACTATATGAATACAGGTTAAATTATCAAAGTGTTTTTGTCAACAATAGGTCAAATGACTATGAAATGTGAATAGTGTTGCTCTTAGTGATAACCATATGCAGAATCATCAGTGGAATCTGAAGTGCCCCACAGTTTTACAGGGCCATTGAGCGTCATTCTGCTCATTGTTTCGGTTTTACAGCCTGCAACTTCTGCTTCATTAACCTCAGCAGCAGCTGGAAACTGTTTTCAGTGAAAAAGCTTTAAAACCAATCAAACAGACAAACAGTTAGCAACAAGCTAACAGGTGAACATAGTGCAGCATTTGCAGCTTAAGTGCCAAATATTATCTAAGGAGGTGGTGGAGACCAAAACGGAGCTCAAAACAGAGTGGAAATACACTAAGATTTATCAGATGGTAAGAAACACTATTATAAACCCATCCATTCATCCTGGACTTCCTCGGCAGAGTTGGTTTGGGATGGGAATTGAGAACTGGATTCAGTTGAGAACTGCTACCAAATTGTCCGATGCCCTGGAATAGTAAACCTCTGAGCTTATAATGTCCCTTTATCAATATCAGCATGTTTCAAGCAAACTTGGAGAGTCACAGTGGAGAGGAAGAGACTTTTCAAAGCATGGTTTCATTCCATTTGTAATGATTGTAAATTTCAAGTAAGGGTGGAAACACCAGTAATATGCTGAAACATATTTCTACAAAAAAGGGTTTAAGTTTCAGGAGGGCTATGTATTTGACACTCTATGTGCCAACGCTTCCCAACCGAGCAGCATGTCCAGTACCAAGCCTAAAGATTTTTTCTTTGATTAGGAAAATCTCCATGAGAATGCATTCAGTATTTTTTTTTTCATTTCAACTACACTATGTGCAGAAATCAGACAGAAATAAGTTGTGTTGATGCTGATAAACTATGTAGTCATCTTTTTTCCCCACACAGAAAATTGATCAGGAATAACGGAATCAATAAAGACTCAAGCAGATAAACAGAATTGATAATGACATGTTGTTATAATCAAAGTCTTATTAATTCCCATCCTTAGACTTGATGTAAGAACATTAGCTGTAGATCATTTTGAGCCATTTGAAGATGCAACTAATGCTGATGTTTTTTTGCTAATAAGATTATTCCACAGGACTGCAGATGTCTCTCATATGTGTCCCAGAAATACAAATTATCAGTCTGCAGAAATCTGTTTCTTTCCTACTCTAACACCCACACACATTCAGCCACTGATAATGCAGTAACAGTAATTCAGTGCCTGACCTATTTAGGTCATTAAGCCTTTATTCTCATCGCAAATCTTTCATCTCAAAACTGCTGCTCATATTGGAATTTTAAATGTGTGGATAACAGAATGCAACATACTGAGATGACTGTGATACTGACATGAAAGACATTTTATTTAGGGCAGGGGAGCTCAAAGTTTTGATGACTGAGTAACAATTTAGGGAGCCAGCATATGGTCAAGGGCTGCACAGCTTCAGGACATGGACTGTATATAAAGATGGACGACATGTCTCCACTTACCCCCACTGTACAGAAGTGAAGCTAAAATATCCCTTTGACTTTTTAGTTTGGCTCATGTCCCATCCACTCAGATAGAGAAGGCAGGTTTTATGACCTATACTGCAGCCAGCCACCAGGGGGAAATGGAACATTTCGATTTCCCCCAAGTTCCGCCTGTTACATGCATTGTCTTTCAAAGTAGACTTCCATTTTCCCAGAAAGTTTACCGTTTCAATACAGTCTCTTTCAAAACAAACGCACTATGATAGTACGAATTGATGTTTTTTTTCCCTTCCACAGCAAACGCACTTGGTTGGGTTTAGGAAAAAAAGAACAGGGTTTAGCTTTGCAATCTCTCGGGGTGCAAACAACATTCGCCCAGGTGAAAGTTAGTGTTTGTTGGACTCATCCACCAACCATCACACTACAACAGCAACCAGCCGCATATCATGCCGATGTTAAAGAATGGCTTATTTTTGTCACTGCCCAAGCATCAGATTTTGACTGTAACTGACTGTTGGGCACGTAAGACTTATTCAAACTGTTCTACATCCACTCTTTACCGATTAACTTGAGATACGATTTGCCATTGTCAATTCCTTGTGCACCTTATAAACCTGTTTGCAAATAAAGCAGATCACGTGATCTGTCTCTAGAGGTCTGACAAAAAGAGCTTATCCATTTTTTATAAAGCGTCCTTCTCTCCTAAAACATAGTGCTTTTTTTCTGCAGTGGCTGTAACTAGCGATGGCCAAATGAAGCCTCATAAAGCATTTTCTTTATTTTATGATCCCACTAGATGGCACTCTTGGTTTAAAAAGAGAGGCTCAAAGAACGGCAATTCAGTGTGCTTTCAACCTTTTGTTGAAAGAGAGCGCCATCTAGTGGGCTTATAAAATAAAGGAAATGCTTCATCAGGCTTCATTTGGCCATCACTAGCTGTTACATTTTACTTCCACATTAAATGCAGAGTTTTCCAAAAAAAAAAATTTGCTGCTGTTATTGCAGATACAGATTCACAAAAACAGGATACAGCTGCCCCCGTATTAATCTTGTGCATGTCTTCTAGATTTAGGTTGGAAATAAATACTTGTTTCCATGCAACTTTGTGGTTTTCTGACTGACTCACACACACCCGCACCAGGTCAGTGAGGGGGGGAAAACGTGTGAGTTGCTACACTCCCCGCTGCAAAGCAAATGCAGCCCAGCGGCCACCTGTTGTGACCGTCTGTGTAGTTGTGAGTGCAGCTGTAAACACAGTGAGCAACTACTGCTGAATGTTGTTCTGCTGTGTCAGCCTCTGGTAAAATAATGAGGTGCTACAAGCTGAAGGGCCGGCAAATGTTTTCAAATGCAGACTGTTTACCATTTGCACTGATTATGCAGAGGAAAAACCCTCAGAACTACAGTGGCCAAGAAAGGTCAAGAAAGATATAAAAATTGACAAAACACAGAAACATGCCACTAACAGTCATTTATACATTTTTTCTTGTCTTTTCAGTGATTCATGACTCCACCTCTTGTCTCCTCCACCTGCTGCTATTGGCTGAGCTGTTTGTCCATTCGTCATCTCGTCCCACCCACAGTTTTCCACTCTGTGGCATGTTCAGGTCAATGATCCATCAGGTGGACAAGCTGACGAGCTTACCAAAAAAACTCCACGACTTGGTAAGATTTTACTGCATGCTGCCAGGATGAGCTGTATGATCAATATTTAAATCTCTTCTCTAGCCAAGTTACGAGAAGAAAATGTTGGCATATGTTACATTTGTACATTTCATACATATATATATGAGCTGACTTTGTCATTGGGAGGTGGAGGGGATGGTGGGTGGTGTGGCACCAAGGTGAGACACCTGCCGAGCTGCAGGCCACTGTTCAAGTCTAACAAATTACAAGGTGTTTTTTAGTGAGCAATTGCTACGTTTCCAGAAGCTGCTTAGCCACCAAACATGGGTGATATTTAGTGATCCATTGCTGTTTCTTTCTAAGCCTGAACATGATCTTTTCCCAACTGTAACCAAGTGGTTTTCATGCCAAAACCTCGCATTAACCACAGTGTTATTGAAACTTAAAGAAAAGGGACATTTCAATGTATCTGCTACATAATAATGTACAAATGTAACATATCAGTGGTTTGCATAAACATACATTGCCAACATTTATTCTAGGCTGGGTTGGTTTGCTCATCTGAATTACAGATTAAAGGTGGAACTTTATCTCCTGTGTGTCTGTAAATGTGTTTAAAATCGTACTTATATCTTGGAAATATTTTGTTGTTAAAGCAATCTTCGCTTCTCATCAACAGACAGATGATAATGATGATGTCTTTGAGGGTGTGGAAAACAGACTGGACAGTCTTCCTAAAATGCAGCACACTGCGGCCCATTTCAACTCACTGAAGGTAAGCCTTCTTACTGTGGAGAGGCTGTGTATGTCAGAGGTGAATTTAAATCAAGGGTACATTTATATTTCCTCTCTAACTGTCTGTTTAATGTCTCCACAGGTGAATGAGTCACTCTCCCAGCTGTTCGAGTTCAGTCAGTCCTTCAGGCTGCATGTTGAATGGTTGAAAACAGCCAAAGAAAACTTCAGTTTGTCCTCCCAGTCAGCAGAGGATGCCAGCTCTCACCTCCTGCAGCTGTCCAACCTTGTTAATGCATCTCTGTCACAGGTGAGGACACCAGTATGGATCTGTGCATTTACATGGATTATTTGGACGATGATTTTACTTCATACATTTATTTTAAAATTAATAGAGAAACTGCCATACATTATATTTATTCAAGTTCAGGTCACAACCAGTGATTTCAAAAAAAGAAAAACAGTCATTTGCAAATGTAAAGTTAAATTAGGAAATGGATGAACTTTTGATTTTTTGTTTGAACTTTGCTTCATCAGACAGAAAATGAGAACATTGAAAATGATATGAAATAGCTGAACTAGAAATAAGCAAAATTTAGGATCAAAATTAAATGAAAAGGGGAAACCTACTGGCAGAACACTAAATTGTGAAAAGCCTGAGATATAAATGCAGACTCTTGCAAATTAGGCCAAAACTTTAAATTTAGCAAGCACCATCTATAGTTAAAAACATAAAGTAGGTCATTTTGGATTCGAATTTCTCATTTAGTTCAAGTGGTTCAAGCTATGCAGTTAAAGATAAATTAATCTGATTTATATGATGTCTGAGCTGCTGCCTTAACCTCTAAACTTTAGTTACACTTTCTGTCCTCAGATGGAAGAAAAGGTTCCTCAGTCTCCATCTCCCTCCCTCCCTGTCGCCTCCACGGCCTTCGATGTGCTCCAGTTCTCTGTAGAGATCTCCAAACGCTTACAAGTGTTTTGTGACTGGTCAAAGAGAATTTTGTTGCTTCTCCAGAGACTGTCTCACTGCCATAAACATTAAGCCTCCATCTTCAGCACCCAAGCCACTGCAAACGACTTCCCACAAAACCACTGTAAATGTTATGGTTTCTACCCAGAGAGGAATGATAGACATGGCAACATAAGTCAGATGCTCCACCGCTTTGGTTCAGACTGAAATATCTCAACAGCTTTTGAATGTATTACCATCAAGTTTGGTGCAGATATTCACGGAGCCCAGTGGATACATTTGCATGACTTTAGTGATCCCTTGACTTTTCTTGTAGCACCTCCCACAAGTCAAAGTTTTCATGTTTCTGGTGAAATATTTCAACAAATGACAGATTGATTGCTGTGAAACTTGGTAAAGACATTCATGTTGCCTTCAGGATGACTTGTAAAAACCAGGTCAAAATTTAAATGAGTTTCATACTTTGGTTTATGACCATTAGATTTGTGTTTTGTGCTACTTTAGCATGCTAACATGCCATACTAGGATGGTAAACATGGTAAACATCTGCTTAGCCTCAGTATGTTAGCATTGTCATTGTGGCCGAGCTGATGTTAGCATCAGACAAATAAAATTAATAGGAATTTCAGAAGTCAGTTAAAACGAGATGTTGAGTTCTAGATGAATCTATTCAGCTGTAAAACAGAATGTAAGTCTATCGCAAGTTCTTCTATGTCACATTTTACATGTAGCCTTTAAAAATGTGCCGTACTGATGCACTGTGCAGAGGCACTGCCTCCTGTGACCTTTACTCCCTTTGAGACTGTTTACATCCACAGTGCCTGCTAAGTGTCGATCTACTCAATGAGCTAAATGACAAGAAAATGTTGTGGAACAATTAATATTTTTCTACTGTTGTTTTGTTTTTGTTTGTTTTTTAACCTATTTAGGATGCTATTTATGAGCTTTTTATAATATAGTGTGAGATGCAGGCATCTCCCATTTTTTTTTCTATGGGTTATCTATTATGTAATATTTAATAATATTAATAATAATGTATTGTCATACTGTAGTGACTTTAATTGTACTATTTATATATTTTATATGTTTTGTTTTTGTAATTTTTACATGAAGTCGTTAATAAAATGTTAGACATGAAACAGATTTCTGACTGCTCCATGTTGATGATGTACTGCACAGCATGATATAATCACACTTTACACTGCAGCATCAGTGACTACATTTACATGCATGCTAATATTTCACTTATTCTGTCCTTCTGTATGCATGTCTGACGTGCACACAGACAGATAGCTATACAGTTGGTCTTAGAGTCTTGAATGATGACTCAGGCAAAAAAGTAAAGTTGACCTCTCTTTACTTGCATGTCTTTAGACTTCATGTTTCTTTCAGTACAGACTTTTTATGAAACTGAAATGGCAGCAAAATACACACTGACGGGCCACTTCATTAGGTACACCTTGCTAGTAATGAGTTGGATCCGCTTTTGTAATCAGGACTGCCTGAATTCTTCATGGCACAGAAATTTTTCTCTGAGATTTTGGTCCATATTGACATGATAGCATCACCCAGTTGCTGCAGATTTGTCGGCTGCACATCCATGATGTGAATCTGCTGTTCCACTACATCCCAAGGGTGCTCTATTGGACTGAGATCTGGGGACTGTGGAGGCCATTGGAGTACAGTGAACTCATTGTCATGTTAAAAAAAAACATGATTTGAGCTTTATGACATGGTGTGTTATCCAGTAGGATAACATGCCACTAATGGGTACACTGTTGTCATAAAGGGATGAACATGGTCAGCAACAATACTCAGGTAGGCTTATACAATGCTCAATTGACCTATGGCTAAGCCACGCCCCCCTCCACTCACTTGGACAAAATATCAACATTCAGTGACCGGTGCTATGGCAGGTGTCAGAGTACACATCATTTCGCAGGAGGCAATTGATGACATGGACATATTAATAAAGCCTGGTTCAACTTTGTTTATCTCTTTTGTCACTCTAAGTCAGAAAATAGTCTACATACAAAAGTAATAGGGATATCAATTTTCACCATGTATTTAGGAATAAAATGTATATCTCAGGCTGTGAATGATTTGTGAACAAGCCTTTGGAAACTGAAAATTTTGGTGCATCAAAGTGCCACTGAAGTTAAGGTTTGTGGCTCAGAATATGAGAAAAGGATAACTGCCTTTTTACCATCTTTACCAAGAGTGTCTCTCCGTTAGTTTGGTGCTACAGTATTTACACTGAATCATTCAGCATAACGTTTGCAAACCTTTGTTATCTCTGCAATTACAGTTAACTTAATGAAGCTAAGCTCCAGAAGTTAACGTTAGCTTAACTAGAGCCCTTTGGACAACAGCTAACAATGATGTACGATCACCAAAGTACAAAACTAGAACAAAATAGGCTAATGAACTCCCAGTAAATAAGGTGACATGATGAGCAACGCAGCTAGGAGCTAACATTAGGCTAACTTTAGCTAACGTTAGCTAGATTTGTTAAAGATAACTTTATATTTTTTTTCCAGCAAAGTGACAATATGTTGTCTCAAACACAATGTTGACTTACCTTAAAACAGATGTAGACATCATTGTTAATCTTATTCATGTTGAGTTGATGTTGTGGTCTAACGTTACCACACAACTTTATCCAAAGGAGACACTTTTCTCGGTTGAGATGTGGTTTAGGAAAGGGTAAAAAATACACCCCGTCGCCCAGCCTCTCAGGATACCTTGTGTCGGAGCTGCATGTACCCCATGCACACCGTTTGACCATTTTTAAACTTCAAATCTCAGAAAAAGCTCATAAAACCGAACAAAACTGACTTTCTGTAATGCATTTCAATGGACGTCCAGGCAAAGAATGTCCGAGTGTATGGAAATGTCTATACCCACTGTGACTGGCTCATCGTGTTTGAGGGCTGGGCTTAGCCATAGGTCAGTTGGTACTAATGGGCCCAAAGTGTGCCAAGGAAATATCCCCCACACCATTACACCACCACATGCCTGAAGCGCTGATAAAGGGTAGGATGGATCCAAGCTTTCATGTTGTTTACACCAAATTCTGACCCTACTATCTGAGTGTCACAGCAGAAATCAAGACTCATCAGCCCAGGCAACATTTCTCCAATCTTCTATTGTCCAGTTTTAGCGAGCCCATGCAAATTGTAGCCTCAGTTTCCAGTTGTGAGCTGACAGGAGTGTCACTCGGTGTGGTCTCCTGCTGCTGTAGCCCATCTGCTTCGAGGTTGGATGTGTTGTTCGTTCAGAGATGGTTTTCTGCATACCTTGTTTGTAATGAGTGTTTATTTGAGCTACTGTTGCCTTTCTATTATATTGAACCAGTCTAGTCATTCTCCTCTGACCTCTGGCATCAACAAGGCATTTTCAACGAGAGAACTGCTGCTCACTGGATATTTTCTCGTTTTCAGACCATCTTCTGTAAACCCTAGAGATAGTTGTGTGTGAAAATCCCAGTAGATCAGCAGTTTCTGAAATACTCAGACCAGCCCGTCTGGCACCAGCAACCATGCCAGGTTCAAAATCACTTAAATCACCTCGGTTTGAACTTCAGCAGGTCGTCTTTACCATGTCTACATGCCTAATGGTGCTTTCGTTTTGTACTCGGAGGTCTGAAGTCGGAAGTGGGAATGACTTCAGAGTTGACAGCAGTTTTTGCATTCTAGTTGACAATGGTGGACAAGTCGGAAAAAAACATGGACGCCCACAAGAAAGCCTTTGTTGCCCTTGCACTTTCGCAATATAGACAGCTTCAAAACCATCAAACACTCCAAATGATGAACACCACAGATGAGGCTGACCTAATGTAAAACAAATAAGATAAAACTGCTATAAACAGTACTTTAGTAGAGTGTTTACTCACTATGTATGTGACTGGCAGCCATCTTGAATTCGTAAGTCGGGGTTGATGCGGTTGCTCCGAGTTTTCGAGTTGGAAATCCGATCTCAGGGTGCATTCGAGGTTAAACTTCCCACTGGGATCTGGGAATTTCCAACCTCCGAGTACAAAACAAACGCACCAGATATGCATCAAGCTGCTGTCACATGATTGGTTGATTAGCTATTTGCATTAACAAGCAGTTGAACAGGTGTACTTAATAAAGTGGCCAGTGAGGGTATTTACACAAAGCATTACGGAGCAATCATCAACATGTAAAGCTTAGTAGGAACATTGTCTTTTTCGGAATACGGGCAAAAACTAGAATCTTTTGTGCATGTACGTAGTCAATGACGGTGTGAATAATCTTATTGGTTGAATTTAACATCAGAGGGCCAGGCCAAAAAACACAGTTTATTTTTTTCAATGTAGTTAAATCGGAAACTTGGATTAACTCTGATTAATATACAAATGATTTCTTTATTTTTCCTTCCTATTTTAAGGACTCCTCTGATGTAAACAGGAAAATTAAAGTGTTTGGCTCCCAGCATGTTCTCTGGGGGCCTTTTTTTTACATCAAACATTTCGACTTCTCATAGCAGCAGCACAGGTGTTACTAATCACATTTACGGTCTTTGTTGTATTTAAGTGTCCCAGTAGTCTCAGTCATGACAGTGAGGATAACCACCATAAGGCCCCTGTAACTGAAGTGGAATTTTGCCATCATTAATTCCATCATTAACACCTTTGCTTTTCCTGCTGTGAAAAAAATTCTTTTAAAACCATTTAGTAGGGCCACATTGTAAGTGCTTCCCATTCTACTTGTTTTAAAAAAGCAGTTACTTAAAAAAAAAGCCATCAAAAATTGGTTTTAACCCAACACGTCTTGCTAACTTTGTCTTTATTCTCCCTGTATTCAGAGCCAAGTGGTGCTTTCGGGAGATCATAAGGAAATAACGAACTCGTAAAATAAAGCATTAGTGACTACTTTTTTGCCTGCAGAGCAGCTCTGACGCCAACAAACGATACAGTCTCACCAAAACTTCACATCTGCTGCATCAATGCAAACACTCATAAAGCACTGAGGTTAAAAGCTACCACACAGGGCTGAGTGACACACGGGGGGAATGTACAGACCACTGCTGTTCAGCTGTGAACTGTATATGAGTGACCCAAAGTAGCACTCAGTGACTTGCATAATGTCAGCGTGATGACATGTGGCCACAGACAGATGATCTAACACACAGACAGACTTTGTGCTGTAACTAACGCTGGCCTCCAGGGAAAGTCTGAGCGATCCTGCAGTTGTACGGAGTGCGGTCACTGGTAGCAGCTGAGAGCCTGATCCACAACCCACAGGGGATCTGGGTGTTAGAGGGAAATTCTTTGACTGGAAATAGAGGGAGGGAGAAGGAAAGAAAGAAATACACATGTTTTGTTTGTAGACAAAGAGAGTGACAGGTGATTATTTGTTGACAGACAGATCAACAACTTCAAATTGTCTGGATGTCATAACAGGACAGAGGGAACAACACGCACATGTTTCCTCTCATGATTTTGATTAAACATTTTATGTTGTTCTTCCTCCTGCTGCCAGAGGACACTTTTCACTGCAGTTCCCAAGCATCAATGCATACTCTACTAACAGAAAGGGAGTGAAGACAAAAATGAAAAAGAACTTTTCAACCTCAGTATCTGCCACAAAGAGTTAAAATCCGTTAGATGCAGTGAAACCACTTTTACTCATTAACCTCATGAACCACCTTTCACTTCCTCCATTTGTTTGCGTTCAAGTGAGTAATTATGACGGGGGCAAAGAAGGAAGTTGGGTGACGGTGCAATAGAGTGACAAAGTCTGTGAGGTTGGGGTGGGTAGATGAATGGGTCAATAAAACACCAGACTTTAACCATGAGACCACCATTTCCTATCGCCCATCAAGTTTGGTTTCTTTTAACCACGATCGTTTCCAAACCTTAACCAATTAAGTTATTATTGTAACCATTGTGACAAAGTTCTCCTAACCTTGATGTAGTAGGGTAGTCATTTCAACCTATAAAGCACATGTATCCAATGCCTCATCAAAGCACTTGTTTTTAACCCAAACCTTAAGGGAGTAGTGCGAATGATTTAGTGGCATCTAGTAGCTTTGATTGCAGATTGCAACAAGCTGAAACATCTCCTGGTTAGAATTCCATCCATTGGTCATTGTTCAGGTGGTTGTCACGAGAGCCAAATTATCTGCAGAGGTCTCCTTCTCCGAAAGTCAAAGTTCATGGGCTGTTTGAATGGTTTTTGGGTTGGGTTTTTTTTGAGTAGATGCCTGAGTTAAGGTCTGTGGTTAACACAAACTTCTTCTGTGGCATTAATACATCAGTTAATACCCCACTTGTGAATTCTGAAGCTTTTAAGTATTCAAAAACACCATTAACAAGTGACTCGTTGTTGTGGCGACAGTAAGTTATTCCTCATATTTTGCCTAACATAGTTTTTTTTACCTCTGCCGATTGCATTTATGCTTCAAAAATCATAAAAGTGGTTATCTGTGAAGATTATCTTGCCGAACAAATCTTGTAAGAGTCATGACCTTTTGTTTGTCACAGAGCTAATTTTATGAAATAAACCAAAATCCAGTCGAAAAATCCAATTGGCTTTTTGTTGAGGAAACCAGGGTGATGCTAACTTCCAGGGGGAACTGCCCATTGGTTCGACAGCCCATTGGTTCGACATCCCATTGTTCCGACCATATTAAACTCATTGTTCCGATGTCCGTTCCGAAATCATCATGATGCCCTGTGGTTAAGGTCTGGTTTGGTTTAGGCACAAAAACCACTTGGTTAGGGTCAGGAAAAGATCATGGTGTGGGTTAAAATGAAAAAGAAAGTGACAATCACATAAGCTTTGAGCCTGCTCCGCCTCAAGCCGGTTGCGGCGCACCATACGCCCACCGCGAGCCGTTCAGCACTGCGGACAGTCGGACTAATGGGATGTCGAACCAATGGGCTGTCGAACCAATGACATGGACCCCTTCCAGGTCTGCCTACAAATTTCCTGCAGCTCTCTATTGCAGCTTGGGCATGACTGTAACAGGCAATAGCAGCACTTTCTACTGTGAAAAATGACCAACAAAAGCTTCTAACACAAACAAACATGTTTCAGCAGGAAAATGATCCAAAACCATGGAGAAATTAACATCGGCAACATGTTTCCCTGCTGTTAGCATGTAGTTTCATTTAGCAGTGTACTTACAGCTGGGGAATGACTGTTAATAAGAGAGTATAGCGGCACTTTCTATGGTGAAAAATCACCAATAGAAGCTTCTAAACCAAAATCCTCACAACCAGACATGCTCCAGCAGGAATACGATCTGAAATCGGGGAGAAATCAACAACATCAGCAATCAAAGATACATTTCCCTAACGATATTTCCTCGACACAATGGTTATGCTCTGCAGTCAATGCAAAGACACATGAACCTTAATCAAACCGGTCACAACGATAGAAGTACAAGAACGTGCATGCACACACACATACACACACACACTCACTCATTCACACATGTAGTCAAGCACATAATCACACACTGGTTCAACGGTCTTTCTCTAAAGAGCACATAGACAGCAGGGAGGAAGGAAGACATTCGTGTACAAATGAGGGATGGAAATAGGAAGAACACACACTTTCACTTGTTCACACACACACACACACACTCAAGCACATAATCACACACTGGTTCAACGGTCTTTCTCTAAAGAGCACATAGACAGCAGGGAGGAAGGAAGACATTCGTGTACAAATGAGGGATGGAAATAGGAAGAACACACACTTTCACTTGTTCACACACACACACACACACACACACACACACACACAAGCACACAGAGACATGCCTCCAGGATCCAGAGGGAGGACAGGGGGAGGAGTGGAGGTGAGGACAGATCACTTTGAGATAAAAGTTGCAGCAACAGCAGACATGAAATCCTCCAACGAGCTCGTCAGGCAGTTTGGATAGTTTCTCCGCTGACTGCAAACTACACCAGAAGTCTCTGCTGCGGCACACTGACACTCACACTCAGTTCATATGCTGAAGGTGGAGAGAAGACTCAGCGCATGAGGATCTGTGAAGGATTTTCTGACAGGTGCATTTGCTAAATGAAGAAAATTTATGTTGGACAGATTTCTTTGTGAAGATCAACATCGCTGAATTGAACCACAGCTGCAAAATGACAGTAAGTAAAACCTGGTGCATGGATTCCCTCACTGCTCCGAACCAGCAGGAGAACTTTTCAAAGATTAAAGGGTCAGTTTACAGAATTTATGAAAAATAAACATATTTTCTCATTTCCCTCTAGTTTTATGACCATGCTGATAGTTTTGGTGATTTAGATGGAATTCATTATGTGGTGTGCACACCATTGAGCAACTCTGTGAATAGTTTTCATGGAGACTAATAATGTTCACAGTGTGTCCCGTAGATCTTTCAGAGTAACAGCAGCAGTGATAGAAACAGAAGATAACCCGTGCAATGAAAGGAAAATTACCTGAGCCTTTAAATCAGAGTTAAATTATTGATGTAGAATGATGTATATCTGGAGTTGAATTAATTTGATTATATAACGAGCAATTACAATTCAATAAGATAATAATTTTCTTTAATTTGCAAATTTAGCACATTTAGAGGAGTCATAATTAGTGTCTGGTGCAGCAGGACTTTACTTAAAGTGCATTGTAAAGCCAGTTATAAAGTGATTTTATAGATAAAAATATAATTCTTGCACTATAATTGTACCACTAATAGCAATTAATTCTGATGTTGTGATGTCATTATTTAGTTACATTACTATACAACATTAAACAACAAGTTTACACATGTGAGTATAATTCCTCAAAATGAGAAAATAATCATCAAGATTTTTTTGGTATGTAGTAAGATGTTAAGTCCATGACATGCTGTGGCTTCAACATCTTATTTAACAAACTGTATGCTGTATGAGCATATAGAATTTTCTGTATTTCGTTACTCCTTTACAACTAATTCTTCTTCACAAAATATGATATTGTGGAAATCGCTTCATTTCAGACAGATGATGTTTTATAATCCTAAAACCTTTTAAAAATAGATTGTAAAATGTTAAAAGAAAATGCATGAGGAGTGACTGGAAAAGTTCCTGTGAAGCTCAAGTATTGATTACTGCATCATGGATTTCATACATTATAGAGTGTTAAAATGTTTAAATGTATGTTCATGTCAGTTTCTTGCTAATTTTTATGCTAAACTCATTTGAGGAGGAAAAAAATTTCAAAATTGAGTTGACTTCTGCTGGATGCGTGCCAGTGCTGCAGGAGTGTGAACATCATACACTCTGCATTCCCTGACACACACCCACACACAGACACAAGATCTTGTCATTCATCACCCTAGTGTTTGTGGTCCACTGAGATCCATTTCCACGTAGAGGACATCACCAGGACATTTATCTCTAACACACACGCACGCGCGCGCATGTCTTACATAACGTGGCATCCCATAGGGAGGCTGTCGGAGTTGTTCTGAGCTGGCTGAGACCGGTGTCACCTCCTTTGACACTTGTCTAAACCCGACCAGCTCTGAGCACGTCAGCTATGCTGCTCACTGGATACCCTCTTAACTCCTGACCCTCCACACTGTGTGGCTGTTGTTGTTTTATTCACACCATCAGCAAAAATCTGAATTCTGCAACTTATCTGAGAAGGAATTTTTCAGGAAGAACTAAAGCTGGGGTAGGCAGTTAAATTTTGGGCATCAGTGGGCAAAAATTCCATAATTATATTTGAGCATGTTGTAATTCCAGTGGACTGAGAGAAAACTAGACTTCTGCACCTCCTCTTGGTTCTGTTTTCAGGCCTTAGAAAATCTAGTCAGTGACCAATCACAGGTCATTTCAGAGAGAGGGCGTTCCTATCGGCTGTTCTACATATGTAATTGCGTATGAACGTCTGCCTACACCGCATAGCAACCAAAAACAGAAAACGCACTTATCAGAAAGACAGTCTAATAGAGAGTCTGACAATAAATGAAATAAAACACGTCATCAGCAAAGCATTACAGAGATGGAGAGAATATGTTGCTAATAGTTTAGCCTTCTGCTAAATGGAGCCAAAGATTCAAAGCTTCAGCTTCAGTTCAAATAAACACAATAAGTTTGTGATTATTTGAACTGAAGCTGAAGCTTCAGGTTCATGTTTATGTTGCTAACCCTAGCAAGAGCCTTGAATCACGTTGTGTCCTCCAAGAGCCAGGAGGACAGCAGGCAGCAGCTCTGGAAACAGACCCCAGATCAGTGGCCACAGCAACTTGAATTCAGGCAGTGCAAGCCCCTGCTTTGGACATTCCGACTCCTCAATCAGTAAACTTTCTGTTGCTGCCATTACACAGGTTAGACCCAGCATTGTTGCTGGCCACTATTCCACTGTGAAACCTGGTGGTGGGGGGGGTTTCACTGACCTCCGACTGAAGGTTCAGAGCTGCTGCCTGCTCTCCTCCTGGCAAAGCAGTCCACAGCGGATTGGAGCGAGGCGTAGTTACCTGCGGGTGGCAAATGTTAGCTAGCTATTTCTTGTCTCAATAGTGATCTAACAAACAGATAGAGAGAGAGAGTAGGCATGGAGAGGCTTACTGAATGTGCTGTGTGACTATGAAATTAGATTTTTTTTTTAAATAAATTGATGTATGGGAAACACTGGGTTACTGTATGAAGCACCTGCATATGCCTGTGGTCATCGGACGGAAGGGGCTTGGGAGAGGGCGAGGAAGCTGCATGAGGAGGGTGTTTTTTAAATTCTGATGCTTCTTTTTTTTTTTTGCTTTTTCCATTTATCTTAAGCCCATACTTAAATATTCTTTTATCAGTTGAGGAATTAAACACTAAAACAACAACAGTCATCATCAACATTCAAACATCAAGAACCTTATAAAAATAGCCACTTCCCTGTATGTCACTATTTTATATATAATAACCAAATAAAATTGAACAAATAATGATAAGTGCTGAAAAAATATATAATTAACATGTTTTTAATTTGAGCTGTCAAACTACCCATGAGTAAAATTTAAAGGCAAGTTATAATGTCAAGATATTGGCTGTACATGTTGTGAAACATTTGTCTCAGACAGACCTGAATAGCTCTGTAATCAGAGTACGGCACAAACACTGAGAGGGTCAGAGGTCAGGTCCCCACACCAATAATGTATTCACTTATGGATTAGACATGGATCATATGGTATAACACTGCTGTATATGCTGCACCATAACTGCAACTCAAAATATTTACAAAGATATTGAAAATTATCTTTGTTAGCAATCAAAGTAATAATTTGGAGGATCTTTTGTATTGCGTCTGCAGAACGAGTAAATCTCTTGCAGCTGTTGCAGCTGATTTTAGAAATCCTCCTTTATTCAGTTTAAACTGGACTTACATTCATCAGTCAAACCTTGCATCTTTAACACCTCCTACTTGCATTTTCTGCATGTTCAATTTCTCAAATTTCATTTTTAGTTAAAAAAAAATCTGTACACTCGATCATTAAATGTGTCTTTGCCTTTGTTAAGTGTGACCGAAGCCTCCACAGGGGATTAACAGTATCTGTGTACGCCACATTCACAGCTCTGAGTTGTTCTCTAATGAGCTGTAATGAGTTGCCCCGTGTCTGAATGTACGGTGACACCAAATCCCAGCTCGGGCCCAAGGGTGCCAGCTGTGATGGAAACATCAACGTTCCACCAGACAAAACAAAGATCTGTGTGTCAGTGTGTGTGTGTGCATGTGTGAAAGGATTTCATGAGGCTATTAACAGACATGTTTATACCCGTGGATCAGTGTTGCCAGCATCGCCATGACGACAATCATCACTGCAACGGCTGTGTTACATTCCAACAAGCTGCAAGAGACGCCACTCTGTGTTAATTGATCTTAAAAGTAGACTTCTTGCTTCACTGATACATTTCTTTACAGATGTATGTACATTACAATGTTATCAAAACATCACATTTACAAGACAAGTGTCAGTAAACACTCAGAAGGCTTTAGTCACAGTAGGGTTTTTGACATGCCACACCAGGAAACACACAGGTGTGAATAATAACAAAAATTATCGCTGCCTTCAATCCAGCAGGTTTAGTTCCAGGATCCTGGGTTTAGTGGATTAGTCTTTTTGTTTAGGGAAGATTCCTTAGCCATGATGAGAGCTGCTCAAATTCTATAAATGCCAAGGAAAGGTTCTCCAGTGCTTCCTTTCTTATCTCCTTTGGCATAAGATACACTGGACAATCATTTACCATAGGAAAGGAGATAATGCCATCCCACAGTTCCTTGAGGCAACAACATTTAAACCAACGCGCTATTCGGACATTCCCAAAAACAAACGATATGTTGAGGATCTTGCCCAAATTTAACAATAATTTCAATCACTGGGATTCAAGTCAATTAATATGAGTGGGCAAGACGGTGAGCATGAGCAACCATTCTCAATGTGACAACCATTCTATTTCAGTTTTGTAACTGGTAGGCTATATTCCGTTTTTATTTCAAAACCAACCTTGGTAAACCTAAACCCAACCACACATTAACAAGAGCTATGCTGAAACATAAAATTCACTGTATCTGCTACATAATAACATGAAAATTGCATGTAACATTTTTCCTTGGTGATTGAGTTGTTACTGAGCTGCAGTCAGATTCTTCTCTTTTCTTTATGAATTCTCTTTCACATCTTTTCTCATGACCTTTTCAGTGAAGGTCAAGGAGAAGTGTTTAGCAAAGATATGGGTCATAATTCTTTTCAACCACAGCCCTGGTTTTATGAATGCTGGCTCCATAACGTGCCTTTTGGTGCATTTATATCTAAATGCTGCTTGGCAGAATTTACTCGAATAGTGCGGACAAAAGCAGGAGTGGACAGCAAAGACAAGTTACCAACAGCAGTCTGCAAAGATATCAGTTAAAAATTGTTTGATCTGAGTGGTTTCAAGATACCCCAACATTTCATGTAAGTTTTTTTCTGCAGCCCAAACAAGATGTATTTGTAGTTAGAGTGTCTTTGAAACAGTTGGATCTAAGATGGATGATGAGTGTTATTCAGTAATATGGTACCAGGGGGGAGTTCATGTGTTTGTTGAATATCTTGCTCATTTACACCAGTCACAACCTGAATAATCCTGTAATCATTAATCTAATTTCTCTAAGCAAACACATTTACTGTTGTCTTTTTGTTCCATGTGTGTGTCCAGGCTGCCACAAAGCTACTGGATGAGATGTGCCACCTGACGGCTCAGTCTCTGACACCAATGGTCACGTCAGAGCACTTCAAGGTCCTGAAGCTCCTGGGCGAAGGCTCATACGGCAAAGTCATGCTGGCTGTTCACAGGAAGAGAGGTTAGGGAGGAAGCTAATGTTTATTATAGTCTCAACACTGCAACAAAAAAGAAAAACCTACATCAGTATCTTCCCCTTGTATCCTCCAGGTACTCCGATGGCTCTGAAGTTCTTCCCTCGTGAGTCCACCCCTCTTGTCTCTTTCCTGAAAGAGTATAACCTCTCTCTGTCATTCTGCACTCACCCGTCCCTGACCAGAGCCCTGGGGATCGCCTACTCAACACCGTCGCACTACGTCTTCGCTCAGCAAGCTAGCCTTTTCGGCGATCTCTTTGATGTCATCTTGCCTGAGGTACATGGTTATTTCAGCAGAGCAATTAAATATTGGAAAAAAACACTTACTGGATTCTGGTTTAATCTGATTTCATCACATATATTTATCTCCTCCCGTTTTCCCCCACCCCTCTCCCTCTCCAGGTTGGAATGGAGGAGGACTGTTGTCAGCGCGTGGTGTCCCAGCTGTGTGGTGCTCTGACCCACCTGCACTCTCTTGGTTTTGTCCACAGAGACCTCAAACCGGAGAACGTCTTCCTGTGTGACTCCGCCTGCCGATGGGTCAAGCTAGGAGACTTTGGCATGGTCAGTATCAAACATGTACAGGACTGTACCACTCAACTGTTAAATGATGGCATTTCTGAGAAGCCTAACTTATGTCGTCTGTCGGGCAGGAACCTTGTATCTCCATATTTTGTTGTTTTGTTTTGATTTGTTTTCCCATAAATCAATGCTATTACTTATTCTCTACATCTGTATGTGGGTTTTACAAATATTTAACCGATGCAAAATATTTTTTAAAAAAAGCTTGTGACTTAAGCTCATAACTCCAATGGATCTTCAAACTGTTGGCAAAATCCCATAGCTCCACCCTGCCTCCACTAAATGACGTGCTGTAATACAACATCTTCGATACTGCACAGCCGAGCTGAAGATAAACACTGACAAAGCAAATTTGTTTGATTTCTAAATAAAAAACTGGTTGTTTGAACAAGTACTCAAGAAACATGAAGGCTAATGCTAGGGTACCAGTTGCCACCACTCTGCCGTGTCCCCAGGTACCAGGATATGCATTGATTGAAATCGAGTTGCTACAGCCACTTCTGATGGTTCGTCATCTTAGCTTCCACCTGATCTCCTCCTGATGAATTATCTCCTAGCATCAGGAGGAGATCAATCATTATAGACTGGGTAATGCGTCAAACAACATCAGACTGCCCCCATGGAATCCGGTGGACCCCATTCGCATTTATGGAAGTCCTTGACTTTGCAGACGATCTGGCAGTCGTGTCATACACACATGCCCACCTCCAGGAAAAATCTGACCGGCTTAGCAATTATGCTAAACAAACTGGTCTGCACATAAACCAGAAAAAGACCCATGTGGATGCACTCATGTGCATCAACACCCCAAGAGGACCTCCTCTTTCCATCGATGGAGGAGCACTGGAATATGTTGAAGATTTTACATACCTCGGAAATCACATAAGCAGCGAAAGTGGAACACAAAAAGACACCATGGCACGCCTTAACAAAGCAAGAGGTGCTTTTAGCCAACTTCATAACATCTGGAAGTCTGAACAGTATAGCCTTAAAACTAAGATGAGGATTTACAACAGTGATGTTAAGGCCATCCTGCTGTATGGCTCTGGTGCTGGAGAGTGACAAAAACTGACATGAAGAAGGTTGATGTCTTTCATAATAGCTGCTTGGGAAAAGTTTGTAACATCTTCCAGCCAAACAGGATCTCCAATGAGGAACTGTACAAGAGGACAGGAAGCATGCATACGTCCCTCAAGATAAAGAAACGCAGGTTAAGACGGCTCAGTCATGTGTTGAGGATGCCCAATGAAAGGTTGCCAAAAGTTGCCTTGAGGTGGACCCCGATTGGGAAAAGAAGTAAAGACAGACCAAAGAACACCTGGCGAAGGACAGTGATGATGGAGCTGCAGGAGATGGGTCTCTCATGGGACAAAGCACAGGCCAAAGTACAAGACAGGGTTCAGTGGCAGTGTATGATTGTGGCCTTATGCCCCAGCCAGGACAAAGGGAATAAGTACCGGTAAGTATTCAGAAAGAGAGGTGGAGCGATTGCGGGGTGCGCTAGCTAGCGAGCAGGCTAATTCTTATTTTTGATACGATAAACACAGACACAGAGTTTTTGGCCAAATGTATTCAAGGACATTTGGTCATGGACTTTCCATGTACAGATAGGATTTGCAAGTTACCCTGGGTATGTTGGTTGTCGACGTTCTGGGATGCCGTGTCAAGTTCTGCCTGTTACATGCATTGCCCTCTTTCAAGATACACCTCCTTTTTCGGAGGAAATTTAATGTTTGCATACAGTCTCTTTCAAAATAAACGCACAACATCGGTACAACAACCCCATAAACTGACATTTTTTCCATAAAGCACGTGGTTTGGTTGTGGAAAGAAAGAACAGGGTTTGGCTATATTATCTTACCCAATGCAAACGCCAGCCTCCTAGGTGAAAGTTTGTTGGACCCATCCACCACCCATCCCACTCACCCTACTTGGAGTTTTGCCACCTTATCTTTTGTTCTTATCCCCCGATGCCCTCAGAAACTGTGAAGCTATAACAGTGACCAGCCGTGTATCATGCTGACATCAAAGGATGCTTTTTTTCTATGATGTGTGACGTCGCAAGTCACTGCCCAAGCTCCAGATTTCAGTGACTTTGGAAAAAACTTTTTTTTCCATTTCCCAGGAAGAAGTGGTTTTGGAAATACAAGGTTTCCACCTGACAGCAACCATATGTATGCAATTATACACTATAATTATATGGAGATGAAGCAGATTATCAAAAACAGTCTGGGGTTTAAGGGATATATGTCAATGCACAGCAGCTTGTGGCCTTTTTTATTGTTATATGTGCTTTATTTGTACGTTTCTTTGCACCAATTTATCATATGAAAGTGACAAATGACTGAATATTCTCCACCAGGTGAAGGCCAGGGGCACCAGGGTCCCAGAGGTCTGGTACAGCTCTCCTTACTGCACCCCTGAGGCCGAGATTGCTCGCGGAAACGAGGACAGCTGGAGGAGCACGAGCGACGGGAATGATGGCGTTAAGGAGGATGAAGAGATGGAAAAGAAGGCCAGAGTTTGGGTGTCTGTGGAGCCTAGCACAGATAGCTGGGCGCTGGGGATCTTGACCTACGCTATGCTCACCGGCAGTCATCCCTGGGCTGAAACAGCCAGCGACTGCCGCGCGTACCTGAAGTATGAAGAGTGGTTCAACCAAACAGAAGGCCCCGATGATGAACTGGATGTATGGGCGGAGCCGCAGGGCGAGAGCACACAGGATTTGATTGGGGTAGAGACTGGAAGGAAAGACCACCCTCCTGTAGCGCCCCAATTTGCATGTTTCACGCTGCTGGCCCGCTCCTTCTTCCGGTCGCTCCTCAACCCAAGGCCCCGGTATCGTGGACGACCCGAGGTTGCGTTGAATTATCTCGGAGGTGACTGGGTGATGGAGAAGGAGAGGGTGAGGCTGGAGGAAGAGAGGAAGAAGAGCAGAGGGAAAGGAGCAATCAGGAGCATGAAGGAGATGGACGGGAGAGGAGAGAGATAAGGAGACTGGGAAATAATGAAGCAATTTTTACACTAAATCATGGGCTATATCAAGGACATGAGATGTTCAGGTTTATTATTGAACCTGACTAATATTGTTTTTAGTTTTATTTGCCTCAAAAAGGGGTTGTTGTCATAAGCTAGAAACACTGTAGGGCCTACAGTAGATAAACACATAAACATTCTCCAGTTCAATCTTCTCAAATATGAGAATTTGCTGTATATATATATATATATATATATATATATATATATGTGCAGCCCAACTGAAAAGACAAAGATATGGACAAATGTAAAGCATTAATTCAAACAAGATGGTTGCTAGAAAGGGTGTGCACATCACCACATTTTACAGTGAGAGGATGTAGCTGAAGGTTTGAACTACTGGTGATAACATTTATTTTTGGCAGTTAATGATTTAAAGGATCTGTATGCAACATGGCAGAAATGCTGACAGAGCTAAAGGTGTTAACATGGAGGGGAACCAGAGGGTGAGCACTGCCATTCTGCAGCAACGTCATTCTGCCACCTTGGGTGGGGACCACGTTATCAGCGGTGACTGCCATACAAGCACAGTACATATAGGCAGCAATAGCTAGACAGTGGGATACACACACAGGGACCATGGAAGTATAAAGAAGTATAAAGATCTGGACACAGTGTTTGCGGTGGAGCCCTGTTCATTCCTGGGACAGCTGTTCAGTAGCACATGAAGCCAAAAAGTTCAACTGCTGTAGTATGAAATTATCCAGAGCTTCTGCATGGTTGAGCCCGTAGAGCAAGCGCACTAGAGACCCTCGGCAGCCATGCAGCTAGCTTCCACCAGCCGGACAGCTAACTTATGGTTAGCGCTCCACTAAGGTGAATAGGGTTAAAATGATTAAATAGTGAGGCTCTCTCAGACTTTCGAAATGTTATCGGATCGAATGGATCAAATCCCAATAGTGAAACTAATGGCTTTGACTGTGATGCTTAAAAAATAATGATACCTAAGTCTATGGGAAGAAGTCTTTTTGGGCCATGTGAACATGGCACCCGCAACCAGCAGTGCTTCCCTCTCAACCAAAGGACCATTTCGATGCTATGTCCCTAACTGCAGAGGTAGCCTACTGCCAGTAGGGACATAGCAAAGTTAGGGACAAAGGTGGCTAAGTCTCACTAACATTATTCATACAAGTCATTTGACAACAAACCAGCTTTTTAGGTCAAGGTTTCCCCAGCAGCCAGCTAGCCCCCGAACTGTAGTAAACACAAGTGCTCATATACAGTATGTGTACTTTTGGACCGGCTCCTCGTTAAAAAAAAAAGTGGTCATAGAAATTTGCTTCAAAGTCATGGAAAGTCAGAAATTATTGGTAAAAATGAGTATTAAACCTGAAAAACATAGAGACTCAGATTTTAACACACACAGAGGGAGCATGACTTTGTTTCTGCTCAGGACACCATTACTCCTACATAGCAAAAAGTTGTTTGCTGCTATATCAATCCTCTGGATGTTGTATACAGCACCTTTAATTTAACTTCTTTTTTATTATTATTATTATTATTATTATTATTATTATTAACAATATGTACTATAACTAACTGAATCATAAACATCAGATTAAAAATGACTTGAAAAAACAGCTGCAGTTCTGGGGATTATCAGTGTTTAGTAGTGCTTTAATGCTATCATGCCCTTGTAAAAGATACTGTCTTTAGCACACTGCATTTATATTTGGATTTAGACTTTTATGTGTATGCATCATAGTTGGCTATGAGCTGTGTATAGATTGCAGTAGTGCCCAGTTTTTACAGTCAACATGTCTGCCAGCAGACTGAGAGGAGCAGTGATGAACCACAACACTCTGACCTGGCAATGGAAGGAGAAATTAAGTACATATTAAACTTTTCAGAGGCACTTTCTGGAAGTAAATATTAATATGCTGCATATATTTAGGAGCACTTGTATTGCACTGTAAATGTAGGCCTAAATGGCAGTTTTTTGGTAATGCTGTAGCACTTTGTATGTAACTACAAAACCATGTATTCTCAAACTTGTATGGTAACTGTACTAAACTGAATGTATTATATAAAATTCAATAAAATGATTGTTTTTGTAAAAGGCTCTTCTGTGAATCACTTTAAACCATTTAAATACATAATGAATCAACCTATGATTTTACTGCACATCATAAAGACTCACATCTGCCAGATGATTTAATGTATGTTGACCTTAAAAAAATGGCATGGCATGCTCATATCATAATTATGTCCTTGTAAGATTATACACCAATGCAAATAGATCACAAGCACACACACACTCACGCATACACACACTCACGCATACACCCACGTACACACAGTGAGGACCATCTGCAGAGCTTCCCCAGATGTTTTTAAAAATAGACCCGCTGTCATAAATTCGACACTACAACCTTTCAGCACCATGTATGTGCCGCAGCTCTGACCCCTCACACTGCAGCCAAGTCACACACTGAACACACTGTTTCCCATGCAAATACAATCAGCTGACTGCCTACTGCAGGAGTGGAGTTCAGCACATAGACGCAGTGAACCGCACTGATGCCTGACACTGATCTAGAAACATTACTCTCTGAAAGAAAGACACATAAACAGGTGTTTAGACCAAACAGAGCACTGCATTTAAATGCAATTTCAAATGCATTATGGGAGTGCTGGAACAGGTACAGGGAAGAAGATGATATACAATAGCCCCACAGAAAATCCAGCTCAAGTAACAGATTCATGAATTCATAGGTTTATCAGTGCAAAAGAGATTTCATCTGCAAAATTACATTGTTGGTATGAAAATAATCCACCCCTGTTGTACCAAAGCTTCAATGTTAGGAGGGTTATTTTTAAAACATATACCACTACTAGTGACTTAATACATGCCCTAATATGCAGTGGTGCAGTGGAAGCTGTACACAGGTACACAGAGTATACCCACCTCTTTTTCTGGCCGTTTACAGCATATTCACCTATCACCCATACATTTGAAGGTATACCAACTTCATCAACTACCACAACGCTGCTGCTAATATGTAATATGTAACATATTCTACTAATTTACTGAAATTAAGGAAAGTATTGTAAATATTTTGCATTTCTTTTGTAATACTTTAAAATTGTCTTGCTGAGCTCATTTGTTTGGACTTTAAATTTCCATGCCAAAAACACATTCCTGACAGTGTCCTGACTGTGCGTCTCCTCTGCCATTGTCATGCTGCAGGTTCACTGCGTGTGCACAAATTACTTCACTTTTTCTTAAGTCTGTTTATGGGAAATGCAGGCCCCAGATGACTTTAAGAGCAAATAAAACAAAAAAGTAATCCCTTCAAGTAAAAATCCCACCACTTCAAACTGTAACTGTATTATAATACTACTCATATATTGTATTTTGAATATGTAATGTTGTTACTTGTACTCTGTCACTCTTCAGCCCTGCAGGGCATTGTACATGGATGAATTACGCAAATTTTCAAGTCAACAACAAGCCTGTATATCTTTAGCTAGCTCAAATCTGCAGCTAATGAATGTCTGGGTCTAGTAATAGGCAAAAATTAAAGGAGCTATATGTAAGAAATCTAAAGCAAATAGTCATAAAATCCTCCTAATATGTCACAGAGACTAAGGAATAATGTTCATATAACATACTGATCTCACTGTCAATAGTACAGCTAGAATATTCGCATTTAAAAAAATATTTTACAGTCTGCAAATCATGTTTATGTTTTGAATTTGTGTTTTGGCCTGTTGCGCCACCCACCGCCGTCTACCACTCACGCAGTCAGTAGAGTCTCAGTATCAGTTACAGTTACGACTGAGCTACAGCATCACGGCAAGCAGCATTAGCAGTGTCCCGGTACATAGCATTAGCAGCCAGCTCCTCCTCAGCTGTATCCCGGCAGCAGCGTTAGCAGCAGAGAAGCCGGACTTGTTTGAACGGTCCGCTGGAAAACCGAAGATCACGGATGCGGCCGCGCACTGTCCAGCAACCTTGAATCTGTAGGGGAGGGGGGGGCGGACACGACTCGTGGCAGTATTTTGAATTTGAGTGCAGTAACCGTTTTGGCCACATTCTTACATACAGCGCCTTTAAGTTATTTTTGAAGACTCTTTTAAGTGTTTGGTATGTACCGGGCCAGCCTGTTGAGCATCCGAGTGCTCACGAATCCCCAACTTTACCCACTCGCTGTTGGCGTAGGGTACTGCTCATGCTGCCTACGACTGAATGAGAAGCAATTAAACTGGACTCCAGTTGGGTCCTTGCAAGTCAAGGCCAATGGTGCCCTCATGTGCTCCTCTGATGGCCGTTCTTGTGCCTTTAATGTGACCTTTAAATTGTAATGTCGAAACAACATGGATGCCTCAAAGAAGATGTGTCCTATTTGTTGCTCAAAGCATTTAAACAACAGGAAACAGATCAGGTGAGCCATGAAATATGATCAGTTTGTCCCACAAAGAACGTCATTGTCATTGGTCAGAGACATTTCTGTAACATCGTATTGAGCTTATGTAGCCTATGTGCATACAAGTGGAATGCTAAATCAACGCATTAAAATGATTATTTTCTTATTATTAATGTAAACTTACACGTGATGGCTGATGATGCATTGAAGAGAAGTTTTGTGGGGTGGACAGCACCAACTGTTGAACATGCATGTACTGTAACTGAGTGTTATGAAGAAACTGGAACCATATTTTGCAAAAAGTATCAGGGTCAAAGTGAATGAAAAACCGTCAGTGTAATCTATTGGAGAGTTTCTTTTGTGTCATTCAAGTTTACCACGTTGCAAACCAGCTCTTTGGCTCTGCTTTCTGCTCACTTTGATTAGCCAATAAAAGTGTTGCTGACTCAAAAGAAACTCTTCTAATATTACCTGCTTGCTAGCTAGTTTGATTATGCAGGTTTGTTTACTCCCGGTCATACTTCTGGTCTCCATTGCCCAGGCTGCGACAGAGGCAGGGGCCAGCTACTGTATGATTTGTTTGCCAGAAAACATTTGATCTGTGACACTTGTGTGGAAAAGGAAGAGTCGGCAGCATTTACAGAGTGAGAGGACGGTGAGGTCAGAGGGAGAGCAGGAGCAGTGACAGACTGCAAAATGCTGAACCGCTGCCCAGTCTAATAAAAACTGGAGGAGTCGTAAATAACAAGCCGAGGTGAAAACACAAATAAAAAAACTGCTGCTGGATAAATTATTCGGCCTATGTAAGGACGTAAAAAGTGCCCTCATCCCCTGATCTGCCTAAAAATAGAATGTAGAGTCACTGAAGAAGAACCCACTAGATCTTGATTCCCAGTTAATTTTCTTCAGAACTTCAAAAATAAAAAAAAAACAGTTATTGTTTATTTTGATGATGACAGCACTAAAAAAGAGCTGCGATCTAAAGCATCTCAGTAAGGTCAAAGGCCTTGTTTATGTCTTGAGCCTCACTGACAAACTCTATATCATCCACACATACAGATACATATCAGGTTTTACTTAATCAACCTTGTAAATCCATTTTTAGTCGCCATAATATCTTAAATTCCAATGAAAGTTTGCATGTTAAACCCTTTACGCATCAGCTGGATACATTCAAATGGTCGGAAAGCTAAAAACAAACCTGATTTCATTAGTTCCTGGAAAGCAGACATTTTGCACATACAAGGCTTTGACCCAGAAGCAATAAACAACTAGATGTATGCATATATAAAATCACACATGAGTTTATAGGCACTTGCGAATATGTTTTCTTGGCTTGGCGTAGTCAGTCGGGGTATGACAGGGCACCAACACAGGATGTGCACTTTTATGCACTCAACAGTGTGAAAAGTAACTAATACTATGATACTATATTTCCATTTTATGCTACTCTGTACTTCTCCACTACAGTTCAGAGGCAAATATTGTACTATTTACCATTAATACAAAATATAAATCATCTGATACACTGTGATTACCTACTAGGCTATTATAGATTAAGCTACCCAGCAGTACATTTACAGCACTTCAAATTAGCTCCACCTTTACAAGCTGTAACTTCAAAGTGATCAACACATTCATGCAACTATAATTAAAATCCAATAATATAATATATAAGATTCTGAAACTTTGCATTCTACATAATGAGGACTTTTATTTTAAGCATATTTTAATGTTAATACTTTTGAACTTTTACTTAAAAGTTCAGAGCATTAATATAGCAGCTGTGCATTAATATAGCAGCTGTGTGTTTCTGTGTGTGTCTGTGTGTGTCTGTGTGTGTTGAGCTTCTCTGTCCAGATTTGAGGTAGATGGTCCGGCTGCACATGAATGTTAGCGCATGTGAGTCACACAGTAGCACCTACTGTTAGTTCTGTCAGCACTGTTCAGGACCCCAGGAACACCACTCAGCATTGCACCCAATTTCCCCAGTGGCCACTTGCAGTATTGCACTGAAAAAATCACCTGTGGCCCAAAAAGCATTTTCCCCATAGACCCCCATTGTAAAAGACACATCTATAAAACTGTTGACAGGACACTTGGAACTACAAACAAGGTCAATTATGACTCTTTCTTTTCTGAATTTTTGAACCATAGTGGTTTTACATTTGTAAAACTTTCCTTGAGTCTAGAAAAATGATTAAAAAAATCCCTGATGTCATCACAATGTAAAGTCTATGAGCCAAGGGGGAACTTGCAGGTGCCAGACAAGTAACTGCATTGAAATGAATAGGTGCCATCTTTGCGTCCATTATCTAGTTATTATTAAGTTATCAAAATCAATGGCGCTGTTACCACTGTTAGCATGTTAGCACTATTAGCACTGTCAGCTGCTAGCCGTTGGCTTAACTACCTCCATGTTGAGAACTGTGTGCAGACAGCCTTAATCAGACTTGTGTATACCGTCACAGCACACTGTGCCCTACTGGGGATCCTGCGTGGCTGTCAGGTAAGGTGGGTTGAGCTCACCAAGGCATAGATAGAGCTTGTGTTACTTTGAAATGGGGATGTGCCAAAGTAATTAAGAGAGACAATTCGGACCAGATGTGGGACTGCAGTTGATGAGATGTTCCTGAGTGCTATGAGGAAGACAGACAGTGGTGTTTCCTCCTTTTCCATATTAAGTTAT